CTCACCGGTGCGGCGCCCCAGGTGCCAGCGCAGGGACAGGCCGTGCAGGTGGGCGAAGAGCTGCACCTGCACCTGCCGGTTGGTGAACTGCTGCACCCAGACCCACAGGAAGGTGCGCAGGTTGCTGACGAAGCCGGTGGCACCTGTGGGGTGGCAGGGCACAGTCAGCAGGGACAAATGCCACCTTCCTCCCCTTCCCCCATCACTTGCAAGTGTGGGCAGCTCATAAATCCGAGCTGGGCTAGAGAGATTTGGGACAGGATCCCCCCACTGCCCCCAGTTGCTGCTCCCGAGACAGAGCAAGCAGTGACCTGGGACCACAGGCATCACCACCTCCCCCGGGGAGTCCCCAGTGCCCAGTCCTTCTCAGTGGTCCTTACCGGCACCTCCACCCTGCAGGAACTTCAGGCCCACGTAGATACAGACGGTCCAGGCCAGGGTGTGCCAGGGAGCCCCCTCCGTCAGCTCATTCACTGGGAAGAGGGGGCACGGGTCAGGGCAGAGGGGCAGGGAGCATCGCTGGGCACCCCGAGCAGAGCCTGCATGGGGATCGGCCCCAGCACCAGCCCCTGCCACCAGCACTGCCCCAGCACCCGTGTCCTGCCACATCCCTGCACCCTCCCAGGTCACTCACGACACCCGCCCGGCACATGGTGAGACTGTGGCTGCTGGTCCTGAAATGCAGCATCTTCTGGAGTGTGCTGGGAGACTGTGTCGACTGAAGAGCAGGGGAGTCAGGGGTCCAAAGCGGGCCCACCTTGGGGAGGTGGCAGCACACACATCCCTAGGCAAAGCATCTACCTCCAAGCCCCTTGCTGCAGGCAGTGGTGCCCAGTGCCAGGCAGGACATGGCACAGAGCAAGGATGAGGGTCCCCTGCAAGGAGCCAGCACCCAGTCTTGGCTCTGCCTGGCCCCGCTCACTGCCGGGACAGCCAGCCCCGCGCGCCTCACCGATGTTCTTGTAGTAGATGGGCACGAAGACGTTGATGGCCCGCTCCAGCCCCATCAGCGCCATGCAGAACAGCACCAGCCCCTGCAGCAGGCGGTTGCCCCTCGGCCACATGTACTGCACCAGCAGCCGCAGCTTCCTCCGGAAATCCTTCCAGGTGGACGTGGTCCTGCTGGCATCTGACAGAAGAGGCTGGGCGAGAGGAGAGCAGAGGGGTCACTGCCCCAGTACCCCAGCCCAGGGAGGGAGCTGAGCAGCCCTAAACCACTCTGTCCCCCGTCTCCTGGAGCCCCCGATCCCAGGGCAGATGCGTCTCGGTCCTGCCTCCAGCCCCCAGGCACAGCCTCCTCCCAAGACACATCCCCCCCCCCCTGCCCCAGCTGCAGAGCGGTGCCCCGCGACTCGCCTGGCTGTTCTCCACGTCCCGCTCCTCCTCGTTCACCAGCAGCATGTAGGGCTTGTGGGGCAGCCCCGGGGCTTTCATGCCCAGGACGAAGAGCATGAAGGTGCAGACATAACGCAGCAGCCAGAGGCTGAATTGCACCTGGAGGGAGAGATGGGGGTCAGCGCCGCAACCTCGCCTCAGTGCAGCCCAGCCGCAGCTGGAGGCAGCATGGGCAAGGGCTCAGGGAGAGGCAAGGACCACGGGTGGAGAGCAGCGAGGGCAGCGCGAGGCACAGGGCTGGCTGTGCCCCGCATCGGCCACCAAAAAGGTGAGCAAAACCACGCCGGGGTGCCAGCGCAGCCAGGAGAGAGGGGACCCCCC